ACGTTACAGTTCCAAGCTATGTGGCGAGGCTACAGCCTGGAAAACGGGGTTGAAACCCGGGTCCGGTTGGTCAGGCTCATCAGGTACAGCAGGACGCGGAGCAGCACATCATAAATAATGAAGCAGGAGAACCTAAAGCAGGAGGGCCTGAGCAGGAGGACGCGGAATAGCGGGACGTCGAACCGCGGATGACCATTGAACAGGGCAAAGGGGTATATCATACTGTCCATCGATTGCTTCTGCGGTTTTCTCTTTGTCTTTTTTTGGTTTTCATTCATGTTTATTACACGAGTAGATTTCTTTTTTTTTTCGTTTCCTTTTTGTTTTCTGTAGCGTTTGGTAGAATGAATAGCGCATGCTTTCTGTCAGCCTACCTGTCTCGTCTTGTTTCTAAATGTCAGAGATTAGTTTTTCAGCTTTTCAGTTTATACTGCACTTGACCTACCGACCCATACCTCCGCTAGGATTTGCCATTTGGAAGGGTTGGTATGACTAAGTACTTTGTAAGATCCGGCTGGTCTGGTAAGGAAACACCGTGGACCTAATCTACACTATGGGCAACATGATGGTTGAACTTACCAGCAGGGTGTATATTCTGACCTGTTAATGGCAAACCGACCGCCTGGGCTACATTTAGTTCTCGGAGTAAGATAAATCCCGGCGGAAAAGTGTGTACTGTACTTAGGTAGTTGAGGTAGACGGGGGATAGAATATGAACACGATAATAATATAGCGGAGGCTAACTATCCATGTTTACTCTACTCTCTATTTCTCTCTCCTTTTCCTCCGGCGTGGTTAAATGGTGTTTGCCCATGACCTGTCCTTTTCACGTCTACATCTCCCTGTTAAAGGTGACGTTGACAAGCTAGTAAGTAGGTTTCATGGAATGCGATGGGCTCTGGATATCAGAAATGCTGCCAAGCGATGAGGCTAGACGCCGTTTTGTTTATTCAATTTTAGGTGATAAAACCTTGGGTATTTTTTTCTAATGCATCTTCTTCTTCTGTTGTCCACCAGCACCGGCTATGAGCGCCTCAAACCACGACACTATGAGCGCAGAAAGGAAGTAGGCCGCCAGCGTGACGGCAACGATGTAGCACACCGTCGGCAGCAGAGAGCGGGGGAGGAGGTTGAGCAGAAACGGGTCCAGGATAATATCGACGTCGACGGGCGGGACGTTGCTCATGAGCGTTGCGTCGGTGGTGAAATAGTCTGCCGCGGCGAGGATCTGAAGAAATAAAAGGGACGATTCCTTTCTCTTTTCCTCGTTGTGAGAGGTGGTGGACTGGTGGATTCTTGGCTGTTGCTCTAGTTGTGTAGACTCAGACGGCTGGCGGGGGAGTGAGTATTCGCCAAGTGAGGTGATGAGCTCTGGGGTTGAGAAGACTGTGTCGAGCTCGTAGGTTTTGATTTTGAATGCTGTTGGTTGCTTTATAAAATTGTTAGGGGGTGGTGTGGGTGTGAGTGTGAGTTCGAGCAGGGGTGACGTACGGTGGCCGCCCAGCAGACACGCACCTCGTACCGTTGGCCCGGGTTGAGGTCATCCAGGAGTAGCCATGTAGCTTTTCCGGTGGCATGGGATGAGTTTGGAAACTGAGCTGAGAGACTTGCTCTTAGGACCGAGTTCTGTGGTGTCAGAGAGTCTATGTAGAGATCTGAAAGCGTTGGATGTTGAGATGGGACGCGGACGGTGTCGGGAGCGGGAAATATTGTCTTTTCGACATTGGCGCGGGCAATGGATGATAGCAATAGAAAAAGAAGATTTATTAACAACGCCATTTTAGGAATTTTGAGATTGGAGGTGCTGTACTCCGTATAAATGAACCTCATCTCAGTTAGAAGCTGCCCCTGAGGTTCATCAGGATTATCCGTAAAGCTTGGCACAGTGTGAAATAATAACACGCGCCCACTTCCCCGGATTGGTTTACTCCGTTGAAGTCCGCTCCCCACACAAAACCCCACGTTCCCGCAGCGGCGGTCCACTGAGCGGCAGCGCGGGCAGCATCGGGAAACCTGGATTTATTATCACATGCTTTCAACACACAGTGAGACAATTCGCCTGCCCCGTTCCAGCAGGGCAGGTGACGCAAGGCCGAGGGTCAAGCGCGGCGCGCGATCCGGCACTGATGCAAGTTGCACTCCACCGCACCAACCAGGCAATGCAACAAACCGCTGCACGACAACGACGACGACAGGACCAGAGTTCCGGGTACAGTTGGACATCCGACCAAATAAAGGGAGGAAAAAAGAGAATGCGTTGTGGTCGCAGGTTTCCGTCGATATCAATAGAGTTTATACCACCACGAGGACGAGTCGCATAACATTCGTCGCCAATTGTCTTTCTCCATTGTTCGGGTTCCCGACGACAACCGCTCCCTTCTCTCTATGATCTGACAACGACAACAACAACCTATATATCTGCCTCCTTCTACACCCGGACACCGTCACCACGATGGCACCGAACCAGTCAAAGCTGGTCCTCCCGGCTATGGTTCGGGAGCGCAACATCAAAGGCATCATCTCCCAGCTCACGACCATGTACCTGCAAAACCGAACCCGCATATCTCGCGCCGTCTACATCACGCTCTTCGTCGCCCTGATCAACCGCGTACGGAACGCAATTGCGGAACAAAAAGCCGCCTCGGTCCGTGAGGCCGCCAAGCGCGCCGAACGGGTCGGTACCACCTCCAGTACGGACGAGCCGGACGCCACCTCCACCAAGAAGAAGAAGGTCGAGCTGAACCGTGAGTTTTTCCGGTCTCTGCTGCGGCTGCTCCGGATCGTTGTGCCAGGCTGGCGGAGCAAGGAGACGCGGCTGTTGATCAGCCACAGCTTCTTCTTGGTCCTGCGGACGCTGATCAGCTTGAAGGTCGCCGCCATGGACGGTGCGATTGTGAAGGCGTTGGTCAAGGGCAACGGGCGTGAGTTTTTGATGCGCATCGTTTGGTGGATGTTGATTGCTGTGCCGGCTACTTTTACGAATTCCATGTTATCATACCACCAAGCCGAGCTCTCGTTGAGATACCGGACCCGGCTGACGAACCATATCCACGATAAATACCTCTCGCAGTTGACATTTTACGGCATCTCGGCGCTCGACGACAGGATCAAGAACCCGGACCAGCTGATCGCGGTCGACGTAGCCAAGTTCTCCAACAGTTTGGCGGAATTGTACAGCAATCTAGCGAAACCTATTCTCGACATGGCAAGCACTTTTTTTTCCTCTTCTCATTCAAATCCCACAACTAACACAGAAAAATAGACCATATACACAGCTTCGCTCTCCAAGAGCGTCGGAGGCGAGGGAGTGGTATTCATGTCCCTACTAGTCCAGCTCTCGGCGACCGTGATGCGCGCACTAACACCCCCTTTCGGAAAATACGTGGCCGACGAGGCACGCCTGGAGGGCGAGTTCCGCTTCCAGCACTCGAGGTTAATAGACCATGCCGAAGAAGTGGCCCTGTACGCCGGCCACGAGGCCGAAAAGGACACGCTCGACAAGGGCTACTTCACCCTGATCAAACACGTCAACTACATCCTGCGCAGGCGCTTCTACCATGGCTTCATGGAGGACTTTGTCATCAAGTACTTTTGGGGCGCCTTGGGTCTGCTGCTCTGCAGCGTGCCCGTGTTCGTCAAGATGCCTGGCGGCGTGGTAATGAACATGGGCGACCGGACAGAAAGTTTCGTCACCAACAGGCGGATGCTACTGTCGGCTTCGGACGCCTTCGGGCGCGTCATGTTTTCGTACCGCGAGATCATGGAGTTGGCGGGGTATACCTCGCGCGTGGCGACGCTGCTGGAGGTTATGGAAGACATCCAGAGCGGCCATTTTGAGAAGAAGCTCGTGTCGAGCTTGGGCACGGAGGATAATGAGGCCGTGCTCCGGGGCAGAGGAAAAGTGGTCGAGAGCAAAGACATCGAATTTATCGATGTGCCTATCATCTCGCCTAACGGGGACGTGCTCGTCAAGTCGCTCTCCTTCTCGCTCAAGCAGGGCGACCATTTGTTAGTTGTCGGGCCGAACGGGTGCGGCAAATCGTCACTGTTCCGCATCCTGGGTGGTTTGTGGCCCGTCTACGGCGGCACAGTGCACAAGCCGCCCTTCAGCGACATTTTTTATATCCCGCAGCGACCGTACCTGTCGCGCGGCTCGCTGCGCCAACAGATTATCTATCCCGACGGCCTGCGCACGATGCGCACCAAGGGCGTCACGGACGCGGACCTGATGTCCATCCTGCGGATTCTGAGTCTCGAGCACATCGTCGACCTGTACCCGGAGGGCTGGGACGCCGAGGCCGAGTGGCGCGACGTGCTCTCGGGCGGCCTGCAGCAGCGCGTTGCCATGGCGCGACTGTTTTATCATCGTCCGCGGTACGCAATTCTGGACGAGTGCACGTCGAGCGTGACGCTGGACACGGAAAAGGTCATGTATGAGAACGCCAAGGCGCTGGGGATCACGCTGATGACGGTGTCGCATCGTCGGAGTCTGTGGAAGTATCATTCCAGGATCTTGCAGTTTGATGGTCAGGGCAACTATGTTTTCACAAAGCTGGATGCGGAGAAGAGGATGAAGTTGGAGGACGAGAAGGAGGATTTGGAGGTGCTACTGAGGGGGGTGCCGGAGATTGAGAGGCGGATTGAGGAGTTGAGTGCTTTGTGATGTGCTTGCTGCTATGTAGCATGTTTAAGGGTTGGATCTTAAGCATTGGCTGTGTTGTGTACATAGGAGTTGTTGGCCTTTTGTTTTGGAAAGTGGGTGCTTTGAATTGCAGAGTGAAGAACTTGCGGAAGCCCAAGTTACAGGAAGAAAGCATATGCATACCTGTGCAAATACATACACATATATAAGCTTAGCTATATAAGGTATGGAGGTCATTCGATGCATACCTACTACCTACATATAGTGCTAACATGCGTCAGTCACAGGATGAAAGAGACTAAACAAAAAATAAAAGGAAAAGGAAAATCTTATCAGATAATCTTGAACAGCTTGTAAGAGCCCCCACACGGGATTGAACCGTGGACCTCGTCATGCCGCATGTTTTCTTCTTTGCTCCGGGTGGAGAGGAGAAGATATTACGAGTGACGCGCTCTACCACTGAGCTATACGGGCTTGTTTGGTCTTAGCTTTGTTGAATATGTGGAGCAGAAACGGAGAATTTGGTTGTCGTTCGGCCTTGGTAGACAAGCAATGAACGGACGCCTCGTAGCGAAGCAGTTTTCTGTCTGGCCTGGCCCGGGCTGGAAAAGGGGAAATGCGAAAAGGGGAGAGGAACCATACGATACTCCCGTCATCGGGCGGAAAGTAGCGCCTGACTTGCAAGCGTAGAACGGCAGCACAAGGAGTACATCACAAACTCTCAATTCTACATCTTTCTCACTACCCGGGTTCGTCGTCGTGGTTCGTTTGTACCCTATGGCAGTGAGTATGTTTAGACAGGTACCTAGGTCGTTAGACAAACAGCTCAGTTACCTTTTGAGGTAAACAAGGATGGAAAGTGTCATGTATATCTAGGTACTGCACCTAAGTCCAACCGAATCTCGAGAGCGTGAATCCGCAATAAGAAGATCCGCAAGATGAGAAGAAACGGGGGAGAAGCCTGGAAGAAGAAAATTAAAATCTCACGAGACCAAATCAAGAAAGGACAATATTTAGAAATTTGGGTTACAAGACAAAAATGAATCAAAAGTATAAGTTGACAAAGACGAGATTCGAACTCGCGCGGTTTCCCACTGCGGAATCAAGTTTGCAGGTCAGATATATTACTACCCGACCCAGATAAACCTAAACACAGCGCCTTAACCACTCGGCCACTTTGCCTTGAATCGATAGCGAAATGAGGGTGGTATCCATATTATAAGGCAAGATCGCACAGAGGGTTGGAAACCTAAGGTACCTGGTAACTTGACTCGCGGAGTGGAGCGTTTATGCCCAAGGAAACTCCAGTTCATCTGAGAAACATCACATGGTTCAGGGTAGCATCATGTGCATCTCGTTTTCCTCTGGACCGGCAAGAGAAAATTCAATGCGGACAATCAGTGGCAAAAGCGAATTGACCAAAAGCCGGTACACTGAATGGCACCAGTACCGGTGGCCGCAGCGGAGGGAGGAGGCCGCCTTCTATCTCTGTAGATACATTTCTAGGATATCCAAAATGCAACACCCCTTCCCAAAAATCCTCTCCCAAATCCTTTTTGTCCAGGCTCAGATCGAATCCAGCTGGCTGGGCAGAAAAGAGGGCTGCTGCTCAACAACAAGAAAATAAGATACACGAAAAGAAAAATACTGGTCACTGAACAGGATCGCCCGCGGCTTGCCGCTTCTTGGCTTAGATGGTCATGCCTTGGCCTTCTGATGGTCTGTCATCTAACATTTGCATTTGGTATACTTAGTAATGCAGCGATGCTGATGACGATGCTACTGGCGCAGTGCCAGTCGCGAAGGCCAGTGTGGTGCTGTTTGCAGTGAGAGGGAACGGCGCAAGAGTCGGGGCCACCGACTCAATGCCAGTCTCCGTCGCAGAGGCAGTTTCCGATTCCGTCTCGGTGACAGTCACGACCTCATCGGGCGGGCATGCACTCTCAGATGCCTCAGGCAGGGCGCCCTTGGTGGTCGAGATCTCCTTGACGGGAAGGGTGACAGACGAGGCCGGGGCTTCTTTTGTGACAGTCATAGTCATGTAGACGGTGGATGCGGGCAATGTGACGGTCACAGCGTTGCCGGCACAGTCGCAAGCCTCTCCACCGGATCCAGACCCAGCGCCGGATCCAGAGTCTGAACCTAGGTCATTGCCAGAGCTTGAGCCGGAGGTGGGCAGGAGAGTCTCGGTAGTGGTAGCGACCGCGCCGACCGTGACGGTGCGTGTACCGGTGCTTGTCATTGTCTTGGTGGTGGTAGAGTCGGCCTCAGCCGCGGGGGTTTTGACGCCAACTTCATGGCTAACGGTCTGGGTGACGACCTCGACGACATTGGAGAAGTACTCGGACAGGAAGGTTGAGGTCACAACGCGGGGACCCTCACCGCCGCCCTGCCCATTGCCACCAAGAGTAATGGTCACGACCTTGGCGGTTGTCTTAACAACAACATGGGTTGAAGTCATAGTCACGGTGCTGGTGACATGGGACACAGCTGCGGGGGTGGATTCAGCTGCGAGGGAAGACGTCGTGGACCCCTTGACGAGATCGTAGGAGGAGGCCTCAGCCAAGATGCTCGACTGGATGGACGAGGCTTCGGTTACGGGGCAGACAACTTCGGTAACCACAGATGTCAGAGTGACTTTCTTGGTAATCAGAGCCTCGGTAGGTAGGGCAGCGAGCTCTTCGGATTTGGTCGGGCAGTTGGTGATGGTAGCAGCGCAAGACGTAATCGTCTGGGTCGAGGTAGCGATGACGGTCAGAGTAGTGAGACCACCCTCCGTGCCGTTGACAACGGGAGACACGATGCCGGTTCCTGCTGGGGCAGTGACCGACGGTGCAACGCCGTAGCTGCTTCCCGTAGCAAGCTCGGTGGAGTTCTGCCGGCGGAAGTGCATGTGGCGGGGGTGGGAGTATGCGGATGTAAGAGCGGCACAGAAGCCGAGAGCAACGGTGAAAGACTTCATCGTGTGTAGCGGTTGATGGGTATTTTCCGGATGATGCTTGGTATGTTCCTTTCCTGATCCAACCTAAGTCGTTGGGTTCGAGTTCTTATCTGTTCTCAAAAGATCGAATTGGGTGAAAGTAGCGAAAGTCGACTCCGCTAGGGCAGGCAGAAACAGTTTCGTCCCTTGAAAGAGAATGTATAAACAGTTGGAAAAGAGAGAAATGAATCACTGCTACACTAGGCAGGAGAGCAGACAAGCAGAAAGAATGATGCTTGACTGTAAAAGAGAGAACTTGGTCGATGACAAAGGAATGGAAGGAGGGTGAAGAGAGAGGAGAAGAAAGGGAGACAGACACACAGCGGTGGACGTCGGTTTAGTCTTAAAAAAAACAACTCGTTCTCGTCCACTCCCGTGCTTCGTCTCTGCATCTCACCATCAGACGCGCGGGAACCCTTGCTGGGGTGCATGAGAGCACAGCCGCCTGGGCCTATCCACAACTTGTGGCATCACGGTGGACATCTGCTTTTCATGAAGGACTGGCGTGGGAAACCGAAGGGCCTCCACTGGTCAGCCAGCACTGGAGTGAACGAACGACAGCAACGATGTGTGGTCGGGTGAAATCCAGGAGTTTGTCGTTGCATGGGGCTCCGGCAAGACGGGCGGGGGTAGGCCCGGCAAACAAGGGGGGCAGATGCAGGAACAGAAAAAACCTGAGACGAGACCTCTGGCCAATAGGGGGCGGTCGTCGGCAACTGATTTGGCTCAGGGGTAGCCCCACCGACCGCACAACGCCGCGAGGGGCTAGACCGGGGTTCGCATCAGCGTTTGTGGGCACTTGAAAGGGGGCGCCAGGGATCTGGGCCAGCTCGGGGGATTGCCAGGGCGTGGCAGACTCGAACAACATCATCGCATTCCATAATAAAAGCCTGATGTCCTTTGGAAGTTTGGATAGATGAGGAATACGTGCTTGAAATTCGTCAAGCAACGGCGATCAGCTCCGTGGTTAAACGCCGTTATGATCCACGCGACTGTGCAGTGTAAATCGAGGGTCGACCGTGGAAACATCAACCGTCAAACCGGGACGCTGGGGAGACCGAGACAGGTGATCGGCTGAATAATGCTCCTGGTTGGCTTCTTGGTTCTGAACAAGCTCCTGAGCAAAAACTCAGCGTTTCTTTCCCCGGGACCAAGCGTGATCTGAGCCTCCTTCGCATGCTTTACGCTGATCAGAGCAAGCGAGGGACGGGTTGTGGTTGAAAACTTGAAGAGATGGCAGCGGGAAGAGAAACGGACTCGGAGCAGAGGGATACCTTAGGTAATTGACGACGAGGCGGGGTCAGACACCGCTCACCGCTCGTGAACAACGGCAGCGACTTTAGCCTCCGAAAAAACAAGTCGCACCTTCTGAATCGAAACAAGCAACTAGAACGACCGAGCACCGGCAATGGTAGTAGGAGCAAGAATATCCATCTCGACTTCCTCATCAGTTCCCTAATCCAGCGATCCTGTGGACCGTGCAGACAACTCCATGGAATCTAGACGTGCCCGTGGATCTCGGGGAGGCAATCAATGCCTAACAAGCTCAAAATCCTCATGACGGGAGCCTTTTGCTCCTCCGAACAGAATATTCCTCAGGAACGGAGATGAATACAACGGCGCAGTCAGCTAGCGGTGCGGGTACAAGCTCACCGTCCCAACGTTTTTAGCCACCTCGGCGCCAGAGAAGCTTTCCCTTGGGTTCGCTCTTGATCCCGTGCTTCCCGTATTACTTCTAGGCCCTGACATGGCATCTTTTAAAAGCATCGACCCGTCCGATCTTTTTTATTTGGAGCTCATGCAAACCAAATCCCCTTCACGAAAAAGGACATTGACCCTCTTGACAGGAGAGGAGCCGCGTGGGGTTTTCTTTTGTCGGTCCTCACAGCCACGACGAGGACCGTGGAATAAACAGACACACAATCTTTGGAAGGTCAAGGTGTCGTCCATGAAAGATCCGAGGAGGTGTCTTTGTGTGCTCTCGGGTGCTTACCTTCACAAATCACGGTTGGTGCCGAGAGCTGGAATTCGGGAATTGAAGGTCGGGATGGTGAAACGGTCAACCCCCTTTTCTCATCCCCTCTTTCTTTGACCCTCCGTGGCCGGCCTGCGGTCCCCTTATCCTTGTCGACGAGCCTTTTAAAACCAGGAAATTGACCCAACAAGGTGACCGACAAGTTCAATTGAGGGAGATCACAAATGGGGCTTTTCAATGCGTAAACTTTGCAGGGGCTGTCGTCTCATGCTATAAACCCAGGTTCAGGAAAACCAAACCTTGTTGTTCATGTTTATTCTTGGTAGAAAAAAAGATCCGCACAGGCCAAGGTATTCCATTGATTTAAGATGTGGACAGAGCACCGCCACGCCGCATTTTGTTATACCCGACACGCGTTTCCAGATGGGTTCATGGTTCTACTGTTGTCCATATTCGTCAAGACCCATAACGTTACCATTAACTTTTAAGGATAATACACGGGTGACAATTTTGGCTCTCCGTGATTACGATACAATAGAGACGTACACGTTCCTGGGTGTTGAATCCTCCAATGGTGACGATACAAACGGGGATGGGGGGGGCAGAATGTCGCAAACTTGCGACCAGACTCAATGAGATGATAGTGTGTGGTGTGGTGTTGCAGCTCCTGCTTGTTACACGCCCCGGTCTACCAAGTATTCTCACGCGAACATACATATACGTCGCGGGTGATAAGGTGAAGGCCGAAACAAGACGAGGCTACGCCGAGGTTCATGAGGAATCACATTTGGAAAATATTTGCAAACAGAACTCCGAGGCTTTCTGGTCACAGCCTTCCTCTGCTGAGGTTCTATTCAACCGGCATCCTGCCGACGGCTGCCAGATATCCCGGGAGGCGTTGTGGTCGCATACAAACACCTGAACAAAAGAAACCAACAAGACCCCATACAGATAAGATAGTCTGATAGACTATTAAGAGCAAGCAAGCGCCACTGGTCAGCTCTTATAGTGTCGGGTGTTATGGAAGGAACTGACCGCGAAGAAGTCACACCACTCTGGTGTAAGTGCTCGATCAGGAAAGCGCCAGCGGATAAGGGTTAGGGTTAGAGCAATCTGACTTACGTCATTGACACACTTTCCACCACTGAATTTGGTTTCTAAAAGCAACGATGGTCTTTACTAGGTAGGTACTGAAGAGGAGTATTTGATAACTTCCATGTTCACTAG